CCCCAAAACCCCAAAACCCCAAAACCCCATATAAGGATACAAGGCTGAAGATAATAAATAATTAAATATGAACAATTCCTTTGAATTCGATGAAAACTTGTCTGAAGAATTTTTGGATGAAAATGTTTCAGCCTTGAAGATTAAAAGTTCTGGCAATCTTGATAAGAACATGTCCTGTTCTCCTTTTCATCCCAAGCTTGAAACTAGTGGTAGAGTAAAAGTTGAATATGCTCCTGTTGCAATGGATGTGAGCAAAACTTTTGAGACTAAAAGTAGAAGACTACCTTTTAAGAAATGGAGAAAAGATAATAAATCTCACGATTGGCTGAACTCCAAACAAAAAGCACTAAATGTTTGCCTAAGAAATATCAAAAAGAGTCACCATAGAAATCAAATCTCTTGCGATGCTTATTCAAAAAGAAAAGTGTGAGCTATCCATGGTTCAGAAGGAGGAGTGACAGTTAGAGATTTGATGGCTCCTCAAAGCTGCCCTGCTTCTTTTATTTCATAATTTATACTAAAAATTTATTCAAATCTTCTCTGGGAGTCAGAATCGATCCATTTTAGTAAACTTGTCTTCAATTTGGTAGAAACATTCAAATTTTTGAGAGGATCCTTGATTTTTATGGGATTCCTGACTCTAAAATATTAATTTAACCGGTGATATCTTGGTATGGCCTTATAATATCAAGAGGAATAGGTTCTATTAGGTTTAAGATAAGCTGCTAGTCTCATAGACTTATTGATCTGGTTATCTGCATGCTTAAGAGAATATGATATGAGAAAGAGCAAACAAACACCTAAGTAACATTTAACTCTAGTTCGTTCTTTAACATGGAAGTATAACATTTTTGACAAAATTTGTTAAATAGAAGCATAGAAGGCTTTGTTGTTTATTTTATACAATAAAATTGAAGGTCTGGCTAGAGATTTGTAACTTTTGATTAAGTATTCAAATAATGGCGAGAATATTTGTTGGAAATATGAACAATCGTCAAGGAAGAAATATTAAAAGTATAACGGCTGATGAAAGGAGGAAATTTTATGATCACCCAGTTCAATACTTTTATGATTATAATTTTCAGTTGATAAGAGTTCTATTCGAACAGAAACCTTTTACAAATATTATAGATTCATGAGTCTTAAAATTTTCTTAAAAATCATGCATTTCTATTTTTATTTATTAACAAATATGGGTGGAATTTTTGTCTTTAAAATATTTGTAGAATTTATCTTGAAACGATAAGTTTTGATGCATCCATATATTTTGTTTTCAAGCCTAATGTATATTATAAAAGTTTGGTATAAAATAATTTTTCTTGATGGTCACTAGAACAAAGAGAATAAAAAATAAAAAGTAAAACGGCCATGCCAATTAGAACTAGAATTAATGTCAAAATATGCATAAAAAGATTATACTCAAATGCTTCTATTTTATAATGGATCGCTCCAACCACTTAATTTTAACTATAGAGTTTATTTGAAAACCAGCTAGGAACTGAGCCAGAAGAACTGAAGAAACATTATTTCATATTTAGTTAAATAAGTAATTCTTCTTTGCAGGGATTACTATAACCCATTTTATAGTAACTCTGAAAAGTTCTAAAAGATGGTTAGCGGCCAGTTCTGAAAATCTGTGCTAAAAAGAATTTTTCTAAATTAGATACTTCTCCAATCAAATTTAGTTGGACTAAAATGGTAGAATATGTGTTCGTTGTTGAATTTCTAAATGCTCAGAGATCATTGTTGCTATATCTCTGAGATAAATGAGTCAAATTAGGGACTTATAATAACTTTATAAACTTGTTTTAAGATTCTAATGAACTAATTGGCTATCCCAAATTAATTTCACCTTATCGTGCTGATAATTAAATAGAACCCTCCAATACAAAGATGGCTAATAAGAACCAAACTCCTCCACAAAGTTACTAATCAAACTATCAACAACAACCTACATAAAAAGTGATTTCAAAAATTTCTTAACATATTTATTCGAATCCAAGACTTATTGCTCACTAACTAGTCCAAACTTGGCAAATTGCGAAACAAGTATTAATAATATAGAAGGCATCAATGATATATAAGAATATTGGGGTTTTGGGGTTTTGGGGTTTTGGGGTTTTGGGG